TGCTCAAATTGATATTGAAGCCAGAGTTCTTACTTAAGTGCGTGTGCATGTTTGTGACAGTCCATTCCCCTATGTACCATCTCTTTCCTGGACCCAGTTATGGGCCTGTGGACTTTCACACCTGTTTTCTTTGGTGTCTTTGCCCCTTTCTTTGCTTCCTTCCTACATCTCTATCTTCACCACTTCCTGGTTGGTCTCTAATTTTTAACTCTAGATACTAATGTTTTCCTCTTGCTTCTCAACACGCCCCTTTGCAACTTTCAGGACTTCAAAATTACCTTTCTCTTCCCTCTCATCTTTCCTTCCCATCGAAACTAATTCTAAAATATGGTATTCATTGGTATCTTCTTACTATCCTGAGGTATTAACGCTTCCTCTTTTTCCACCTTTTAAATTGTTTATTAGTAAAAATAAATTGCTGTCTCATGGCTGAATATAGAGTCAAGGTATGGCCAGAGTTCAAGCTGGCTTTCTTTTACCTCCACCACTCTGATCAGTCTCCCTTATTAGTAAAAATAAATTGCTGTCTCATGGCTGAATATAGAGTCAAGGTATGGCCAGAGTTAAAGCTGGCTTTCTTTTACCTCCACCACTCTGATCAGTCTCCTGAAGTCTCCCAACTCTGGCTCTGGGTTAGAAGAAAGAAAAGAACATATTTGCCAATATGGAGCTCTTGAGAACTCCTAGCACCTTCCCCTATGAAGTGAGAATTTGGCAGCTCTTTTGAGGTCTCTATCATTATATGACCTTTGTTTCCTACCAAAGCACTTGGAAGGGAGAAGACTGGGCCAACCTCTAAAGGGGATTCAAGGCAGCTTATTATTTCTGTCTTATTTCTGACCTTAGATATGCTTAGTTTTAGCAGAATAAAAGAATTTTATATTTAATCAACATAACCACTTATTCTTTATATCTAATTACTGTGTAATGATATATCATTTAATTTTTTTCTGATTAACTTTTTAAAGTTTTATCTGCTCAAAACACTAAATAGTTTAACTTCAGTTTCATGGTTTGTTTTTGTTATGACCATTTTTCAAGATAGAGAACTATTCAGGAAAATTGGTTAATACTATATATTAGATTTTTCCTCTAATAATTTAAAATTTTCAAATTCTCCATTGTTAGGCCTTAGCTTCACTAAGCTATTTGACTCATTGAAGTAAAATTAGCCCAGTTATTTAGAAACAGTAGTGAGGAAGAGATTAAAACCATTCTTCTATTATATAAAACAGACACGTGAACTAGAAGGCTAAGAAATCGTCCTCTTTATCCAGGCATGTTAGAACAAATTGACAGAAATGAAAATGGCAAAGTCGTGTTTATTCTGACAGAGAGTTTGTTCTCTCTCTTGTTCATATAATGCACAGACTCTTTATCTTTCAAGAACCTACTCAAAAAATGGAGCTTTCTGATATTTTTGACCTGAAAGAGATGTTCAGAAGCTCCATGCATCTGATTATGCAGGTAATTTGTGAGTTCTTGTGTAAGCTGTGTACCACGGCATTGAATAATGTTCTGGCACCAACTTATAATTAATATCTGTCAGGATTTATAGCCTAGGAGGGAGTGGAAGGAATAGCCTTGTTAATCCATCCAGATAGTGTGTAAAATAAATTTTTATACCTTTATGGGAACTTCAGAGAGCAATTTATTACATTTCTATGTGTGGGTTTCATAGAAGCATCTTTCTTCATCTTTGATTTTTCTCTGGAAACATTTGTCAGATTATTCTTTTAGTTTTTTTATTTTTTATTTTTATTTTTTGACTGGTAAGGGGATCGCAACCCTCAGCACGGTGTGGTCTGCACCACGCTCAGCC